TGAAATTTATTTCATAACTAAACTTATCAAATTATCTATCCGCTTTACATCATCCTATAGCCGTCCAAAGTAAGGGCAGAAATGAACTGCTGTCAAACACATTTCATGACACCACTGGTGACAGTTCATACAGTTCACCCATTTATTCCCCATAATAATAACTGGTTACAGTACTGTAACGGATTTGATCAACCCGTTACCAGGCAACAGCTCTGTAAACACGGTCCAACACTCAGCAATAGAGGAGGCTGTTTTTTCCGTGTCCGCGGTGACGTCACAAAAGAGTAGGTAGTGATCGCGTGACAGGTGTTTCCTGCGATGCATGCCCGTTCCGTGGCTATCTAAGTAAGAGTCCAGGAGAGTTCAGAGCAGTTACGAGTTACGAGTGAGTAGTAGCGGCAGAAGCACCCGATCAAGCAAGCAGTAAGCCCAAGAAGTACAGAAGAGTACAAGAAGTTAGCCTCTGAAGACTAAACTTGTGGTTCGAAGACTTTATGTGTGCTATAGTGCAATGGTATTGGGAGTGTATAATTAAGGGAGGTTTTTATAATTCCCGTGTTATAAATCCGTGAAGAGTAGTGAAGTTAGATTGAAGTGATTAGGGTGGAGTGCTTTATGGTGTGAAAATCAGGAACAGTGTTATAATTAATAGTAGTTACGACCTGTAACTGGTCAATAAATCCAATTACAAATCTGCACCTTGTCTTTAGTCACTGATGCACATGATAACTAGTGTTGGAAGTAGTACGGATTGGATCAGATTAATTAGATTATTGGATTTATGATTGTATCGGGTAGTATATGGCTACATTATGGAAAGGGAACGCCTGCTGGCTTAAATAAGACCCGGCCAAGAAAACATGAAAGATGAAATCAAAGAAGACATGAACACTAATATGAAAGCCGACGGAGAAGATCTAAAGGAAATGATGGAAGAAATGATGATCGCCTTGACGAAAGCAAAGCTAAAAGAAATGCGAGAAGAGATCAAATTTGGACAAGCTTAAATTCCAAGGAGCTAAATCCGGAAGACAGGAAATCGAGAGGTCCCTAACGAAGATGCCGTAGTGAAATCTGTCAAAGGACGGAAGAAAAGGCACAGGGACCGGCATCTAGCTGAAGGGCTGCGCTTAGAGCGAAGAAACTGACCAGAGCAAATTGTGGATCCCGGAAGAAGTTGGCTGCCGCCTGCAGGAAGGTGTCCTGTCGTGTAGCAGTGGAACGGCGTGGGAGAAACATCTTCAGGAAAATTGTGGACCGCGGAAGGAATTGGATTCACTCGCCAGGGAGACGACCCGCTGTGCAGAAGTGGCACTACACAAGGAACATGGGCTTCAGGGGCGCAGTCAGGAAGGACCATCGGTTAAGCAGGAACGGTGGAAGAATTACACCCGGAACAAATATGCAAGAGGAACCGGGAAAGGACGGACGCTCTCAGGGAGACATCTGATGCGCCAGGAAGGCATTAATGGAGCCAGTTCCGAGAATCAAGCTCGAAATTACAGAACGTGACAGAAGCGGCCAGGCCACACGTAAGCAACGGAGAGTTTCAGGAGTTGAAAAGCTCTTCGCTGAATACGAAGACATCTTTACTGCGGACAGAGAAAACCACGGATGGACTAACAATTTCTGCAATACGCTTTCTTAGTTTAACAGACTTTGCACACGAAATTTAGCTAGCCTAATTAGGTCTAATCAGTTCGTTTCTAAATAAGTCGAGTTGAATATTTCGTGCTTAAAATATCCAGTTCTACAGAGTCAGGATACTCCTTTCTCTTGGTGTCTAAAGTCTGAAACTGTTCAGAATAATTGTCGTGTACCTGTTCCAGTGGTATCTCTGGGTCTTTATGGATTTTAAAAGTGCTTGAGGCTTAAAGGTCTACTCGAGACATGGATGTTTGCGTTTATTCTGTGTGCGTGTTGTCCTGTATAAGTATTGGCCTTTTCGATGGGCTGATTACCTATCCAAGGACATCTACCGAATGTCTATATGATTAAGAAACTGAGGTCAAACAAAGCGTTTTACAAATGTTCTATGCTCCAGAAGGAGCAGCAGGAAATATGAATGAATGAATGAATCCTAAAGAAAGTGTAGCCGAATGGTTTTAGAAAATCCGCGGTTGTCGTCGTCGTGGTTGTTTTGTTGTTGTTGCTGCTGCTGCTGCTGTTGTCGTCGTCGTCGTCGTCGTCGTTGTTGTTGTTGTTGTTGCTGCTGCTGCTGTTGTCATCGTCATCTTCGTCTTCTTCTTTTTTCGAATGGCCATACATCCCTGAACGATCGTAGGTAAAAGAGAAAAGAGAATCCGATAGCCAAAAACCCCGTCTATATTCACGCACCACTGAAACATGCCAATATCAACAAGTATCCGAGCTAATCCTGTATGTCTTCTAAGCACATTGGAAGCATCATCATAGCCAGAAGATACCCGTTTTCTTAGAAAAGAATTTTCTTCGAACCCGTGGCTTCACAGAATATTCATATTTTTTTCCGCAACAGTGTTGGTTTCAATAAATTTTAGATTATACTGTATTGGGAAATATAGTCGAATGCGGCAGTTTCACGCTGAAGTATATTACTAGCGCAGTCTTGTTGCTGAAGTGGGAGATCTGTCGACTGTGACACGTACTAGATCAATTTTTAGTGTCAGCTTGACCACCTTCGTCGGAATTTGTTTGTGACAGCAGGAGAATTGGCTGCACACGCAATGTTGAATTGTGGAACACACCCGTG